CTGCTATGGTATTAAACCGTATCTAGAGTGCTCCATAAATTACATCTGTAGGGAGTTCACTGCATACTATTCTTACTGTTGAAATACAGAAATGCTCTGGGAACTCTAAGGAAGCATTCTAGGATATTCGTCTAATTGCCTGGACATATTTTTTAAGAAGAAGAAAGCCTCTCTTCCTGCCTGAGCGAGCTGAGGCCCAGAACTGCAGCCCAAATCCCTGGACTCAGCCATTGTCTCAGCCTTTTGAGATGAATTCAGAGAACTCTGTTTGTTAGAAGACAGTCAAACAAGGCCCTGTGAGTCATGCAGACCCACTCAGAAAGGCAGGAATGGCCCCAGAGCTTGCTCTGGTTTGCTTTGGCCCTGAATCTGCTATTTTCTTAGTGGCATTTATGGTTGCAGATCACAAGGCTTAAAGTAAGTTTCATTTATATTATGTTCATGTAAGTGTTTTGCTGCCAGAGTGAATCAACATTTTTATTAGCATTTTGTGATGCAAATAGCAAGGCTTTTAAAAACTTGTTGAATTTTAATATATGTCGGAATCACTTATGGAACTGATGATCTTGTCCCACGTTTACCTTGGGGAAAAAACCTAGAGGAGTGGCTAGTGAGACCGTTTCTGTCTACGTAAAAAACTTGAATTTTAAAGTGTTAGAGTAGAACTTGTTGATTGAATTGAAGTATTTCTGATTTTCCTGAATATGAGATTTAATAAGCATAGCTTAATTAAGGTGTAACGAATGCTCCTGTAGGAGAGAAAGACTAGTCTCAGTAGACTGAAATGACTTTAAAATGACCTGTTCATCTTAAACTTAAAAAATTAAAAACAGAAACACATTGCCATTGAGTCAGCTCTGAATCATGGTGACTCTAGGACAGAGTAGAATGGGGCTGTGGGTTTCCGAAACTGTAACTCTATACAGGAGTAAAAAGCCCATCTTTCTCCAGAGGAGCTGCTGGTGGTTTTGAACTGCTGACTTTCTAGTTAGTAGCCCAACACATGCCCACTACACCACCAGGGTTTCTATGAAATAGAAAATGGCAGTGCCTTTTCAAAAAAAGTAACCTTATCTCTTATGTGGACCTTTGTCTGAGAAAACCATACAATGGCTTGGTCTTATTGTGTTGTTCAGCTCTGTGTATGGCCATAGCCGACACACTATTTATGCTCAAAATACAACCACTGAATGTTTCAATTACTTTAGTACACCTTCTTCACCGTAAGATAGTCTCTCTAAGCCAAATTGCATTTACTGATATAGTCTGCCTTTGGTACCCATGGTCCTGCATTCCCAGATTTAACAACTATAGGTCAAAAATATTTTTGGGGTGGTGGTGGAGGGAGATAATTAAGTGGTCAAAGCAACCCTTGAAATGCTAAGCAGGGGCAGTAAAGTATGTCATTGTGTGTGTGTGTGTGTGTGTGTGTGTGTGTGGCATTATATGGGGTATTAGATGTAATCCAGAGATGATTTGAAGTATACAGGAGGATGTGTATAGATTACATGCAAACACCATGTTACTGTATATAAAGGGCTTGAGCATCACAGATTCTGGTAAGGGGGTTGGGGTCGGGGGAGGTCCTAGAGCAAGCCCCGTGGATGCCAAAGGCCCTGTACTTGGCTTTGGATGATAAATATAGAGTGAACTGAATGTGAAAGCGAGCTGTACTCGTGTGGAGATGCCTAGCTCACTTTGGACACAGTAGTCTCTGCTGCTTGAGCAGAAGCAGTTGCCCACATTTTGCCATGATAGAGGGTAACCTCGTAAAGATAAAAACTAGGATACACCCCAATATGCTGGACGGAGCTAGAGCAGTGATTCTCAACCTGTGGGTAGCGACCCATTTGGGGGTTCAAGCGACTCTTTCACGGGGGTCACCTAAGACCATCATCAGAAAGCACATATTTCCGATGGTCTTAGGAATGGAGACACCACTCCTCTCTCCATCTCCAGGCAGTCCGTCCACATGCAGATACGCCCACATACGAGTACCTGGCTTGATGACATCGTCGCGCCAACCCCATTCCATAGACCCCGTACAAATGCAGGTGTGTGTGACAGGGTTGGTGCCATAATGTACTTATGCAGACCAGTCACACACGTGGAGAGAGCAGCTGCTGTGTAGAGAGCAGCTCCTGTGTTGAAAGCAGCAGTATTGGAGGTAAAACGACACTTCATGGATTATAATTACATATTATTTTTGTGATTCATCACTATGCTTTAATTATGTTCCGTTTGTATCAATGAAAATACATCCTGCATATCAGATATTTACATTACACTTAATAACAGTAGCAAAATGACAGTTATGAAGTAGCAATGAAAATAATTTTATGACTGGGGGGTCACCACTGTAAGGGTTTTTGGGGCGCGAAACAGAATTAAAGATCCAATTGGTAAAGTTTTAGAAGCAGGCTTTATTGAGAAGCTTGCGGG